TTGGGTCAGCCTCTGGGCAGTTCTGGAAATTGACTTCCCTCTAGGACTCTCCTCCCTCTCAAGTTTTGAATAGAATCCAATTTCAACTATTGCTATTGATATTTTCCTGTTAATTAAAAATAACAAATGACACTGTTGTCAGAGAGGAGTTATGCTCTCAGAAGTAGACGCCACCAGAGCCTGGAAATCACTGACTTTGGGGGAATGCAAAACTCTGCTCCCCAATCAGCAACATCTGCAATATGAAAAGGGGACTCAGGAGGTTCAAACCAATTTAAGCTTGTCAGTCTCTAGGCAAATGCCGCAGAATCTTCAGACACAGCTTGCGATGAGGGGTCTTTGCATGGAAATAAGCACAGTCGGGCTTCCAGTTTGGATCACTGAGAATAACGGAATTTTGTAGTTTTTTTCTTTCTTTATCATTGTTTTGTTTCATTTTGCTATTATTTGGTTTGAGCTTCTTATTCCTTGTCTGGTGTCTTTCGCAGAAATATGTACCTTTCTGTGAGAAACATTTCCTCCTGTTGCAAGAAACCTTCATGGAAGAGAAGTTCATTGTTACCATCTGTACTTGGTTTAGAAGAGCTTTGATTAATAAGGACCACCCTATTGTTCATTTGTTTGACATGTGGAAATATTTGTAATCTGTTTCTGGTGAGAGAGATTTTCAATGAGGACCTGGTTTGACTTTCAAACCCACGTTGCCAATGAAAACCAGCCTCCTGAATCCAGAGGTCAGTGGGGAGCAAGCAGAGGTGTTTTATTCTCCCTCTCTTCCCCCCCAAACACCAACACCTGTTAGAAGTGAGGTTGAAAAGATCCTGTTGGAACTCCAGGACAGAGACCCAATTCCAACCTGAAAGAGGCTCTGATGTATGGCGTATAATGAGAGCTGGAGACTGCCCACTGTTACACATCATTATCATTCAGATCATGAAAGCAAATGAAATGGTTCAAGCAGATAACAGCTGTTTTTATTCTGCTTTTCAAAGATTGTCTTAAACAACCTGATCTCATGGCTTTTATTCAAGGGTGAACACCCAATTGTAAACATAGGAGCGATGCATTCTCATGATGTCAGTAATAAAAGCATGTATAAAGCAGCATGTGTATTCTGGAAAGCTAACTAACCATTAAAGCCAAGAAACATAGTCTGGCACAAATCTTATTATGTGTCCAAGAGGACTTGATGGTATGCACATAAGAAAATGTAATGAAACAGCGGGAAGGAGGAGAGGGGCGGGGAGGAGCAGGAGGGCTGGGGTTGCAGTTCTGTATCTGAGAAAGGATAGCAAAATTAGAGAAAGGTAAAGCCGCCAAGATCATCTGAGAAAGGGGTTAGCATAGCAAGGAGAAATGAAGGCAATTTCGCTTCCGTTGCTCTATCTGCTGTATTACAGAATCACCTGATTGCATTTTTGTCTATTAGTTATAGACAATGAGGCTATTACCCAGACACACACAGGAAAAAGGAAGAGGCCTAGTCTTCCTTTTATCAGGAGTTCAGATCTCATTTGGGGCACTGTACCTCTATTGTGTTTGTAATTGCTGTGATCATCATCCTAAGCTTTAGGTCTAGCTCGCTTGAGGAATTCCACAGCAGTGCACACCGCTCATCAGAATCCTGTAAAAAGAAAATGGTATGCTAGGGAATTTTGACAGGGCGGACCTTATACAAAGCCAATCTATGAGATGTTTGCCGTAATTTTTCACATTTGCAAAAGCATAGCAAGAATATAAGCAGTCTCTCCTAGATTCCCTGCAAGACAACAATGCTCATTTCTCAACGTTATTCTTCTCTTTCTATAATAGGAAGTATCTTTTATGAATGGGTCATTGAATTAATAAAATAGGAAGAAATCATACCTTTTCTATATTTGATAATAAAAATTGTGGTATATTAGGAAAAAAATATATATATATATATATAAAGTTTACCTCTAATGTTGGTTTATGAACCACATAAATTATAACATTAAACCAAAATATGGGTTCAACAGTTTAAAGTGTGAATCTGCTCTTCACGTGCTTAGACTTATGCTTTAAAAAAGGCATAAAAATGTCAGCTCCACAGATTTGCTGCCCAAAGATCCTTGTTCACCTGTGCATAAAATACAACTACCCCCAAGGGTGTACACATTTACAAACACAAATTAATCTTTTCCCTTCTCAATGCACAAACCACCATGGATTTCAATACTGAACAATAGAAACTACTAAATATGAGTTTGTTTCAGGTATCTCCACCAAAGGGAAAATAACACAAGGTTTGAGGTCCCAAATTATAGCTGGATTTTCTGCTCTTAGATGTTCATTAGTTTATGTGGAAGGCACCAATGAACTAAAGTAGTGGCAGCTAGTACCAACATATGACTTTCTGTGTCCTTGAATCAAGTAGGAAATGATGTGGGGGATTTAACTGTTTAGTTTGCTTTTTTTTTTTGGTACCAGGGATCGAACTCGGAACCTTGCGCTTGCAAGGCAGGCAGTGGAACCACTGAGCTAAATCATCGGCCCTTTAAGCTATTTTGAAATGGCCTTTCCAGGCCTGGGAGAAGCAATGCTCAGATTGAACTGCCGAAATTTTTCATCAGTGTGAAAAAGTGCTTCCATGGATCTTTGTTAAAATACAGCAGCACTACATGCAAACACACGCATGCACCTAACATAAACTAATTTTCTACCTACTATCCACTATGGTTATGTTAGTTTTCTAGATTGTGAATTATTTTATTCTAAGCCCCTGTTCTTCATCTCTCCTCCTCCGTACCTGTGTAGTGATAATTTTGCTGTTCAATTATAACCACTATTAAAATACAAACAAAAATAAAATATCAAGAAGACAGCCACAATCCCTAGAGGAACACACATAGTTCATTCATTTGTATCAATTAGCAGTTCTATATATCTGATGAATAAATAAATGATTTTAAGCCATTGCTAAAATAAATACTTTCAAAATGCAAGAATATCCTAACAGCCAAGCTTCGTCTGGTAGACCCAGGGTGTAGCTCTCTAATTCAGGGGATCCCTTCTACTTATGGCAGAGTGAACAGTCACATGGCTATGAAACATGAATTTGGATGCCAAATGAATAGCAAGTTGAGAAGCTGAGCGCCAAGTGACTTCAAATGTCTATGAAGTGAAAATATCCCTATATCAAGGCTAGCTACTGTATTGAGAACAGTTATTGCTACCGATCATTTTCTTGCTTTAAAGGACGTCTTTCCTGATGGTCTACCAATGACTCCGTGAATCTTCATCAAGCAAATCACAAATGAATACCCTCTTTCTGTAAATCCATGCAAAAGAAATCATAACTTCTTAAAATCTCAGAGAAACAAGGGTGCCACTTTTTAGCAAGGAAGGATGAATTGCACCTTCCCACTCCACCCGGATTCATAGTTACCCAAAATCAAGAGACCAAAGACGCTTTGAAAATCTGGCCGGTTGGCCCCTGCCTTTGGTATATTAATGAGTACAAGATGTTGAATGCATATTTGAGTAGTAAGAAGAACCTGCTTCCCAAAGGGAAAAAGAACCTGGGAACAATAAATTACTAGACAAGTCTAGGGAACTGAATCTCATCACGTTCCAAAGCTTAATAGCAAAGCTTAGAATATCTATCCCCCATGAAAGTCAGGGCAAATGTTTTCCATCATCATGACTTCTAGAGCAGGGTGTATTTTTCATAAACAGATATTTTCTTACATAGAAATTCATTTTACCATCCTAACAATTAGCATTCAGCTATTGCTTTTTCTTTCCCTGTCCTAGACATAAAATGTTGCATTAGCTATCTAAAAATGAATTAAGAGAGAGGTGAAATATGTATTTGAAACCATGCATTAAATTTAGGTTCCTCAAGTTTCTGTGTTATAACACTTATTTTGATTTGTTGAGCATTTTCACCCAGCTACTGTGCTTTCTTTCCTTTATTTTTCTTTCAATTGTCTCACCTTTCCTCTATGATGTAGATTAGCACCGGCCTCCGAGCCCCAGGCATCAAAGGAATTAGGTCAGACCCAGAAGAAATCAGGTTGCAGGTAAGAAAAAAAATTAATAAAATAGAAGCTATGCCAGCCTGGAACTTCTGTACTCCTTCGGGCAGACTAACAACCACTGGCCTTAAATGTAATTGGTGTGTGGAGGAAGAGTGGTAAAGATGTTTGAGACACCAAAGATTTTAATAGTATTAGCAACACGGTGATAGGTAGAATTTATTTAAAGCCAGTCTCTGCATATTGCTTGAGTAGGTGGGCTTTTCAGCTTTAAAACAATATTTGCAATTAAAAAATAATAATTTCAATGAAAACCAAGTGCTGTTTTATCACAATATAATGTTTCTGAGTCATTTTAAATTTGGATCCCACGCAAGACCAGTGGTCTTTTAAAGCATATATTATCTGTACTCAAGAAATTTATTTTATGTTAGCATGTTTAATGCTTACCTACTCATATAGGATTATATTATCTTCTTTTAGGTTATACTA